TGGAATAAAGTCAAGGGTGGTCAAGCTAAGATCTGGCGCGATGGTATGAATTGCCTAACCAGGGGACTGGGTCACATAAGTCGCGTTAGGCTCCCTGGCTGGGGACCTCGGGATGATCGTAATCGATGGTTAAAGACAGTGATATGGCTGGGTGTTGTAAGCAATGGCGCTCATGCATCTTCTCAATTTCTTTCCAACATTAGTCCATTTGATTTCTCCATTTTCTATTCGACTTTACTTTCAGCTTTCTTGTCTTCCAGGTCTTCATTTGTTAGTCGCGATATGCCGGAATTTCTTAAAAGGCAAAGCGTATAATCATATAAAATCAGAAAAAATAGTAGGGGTTTCCTGTCATGCGCCATTGCAGTCTAGTGAAAAGCAATCAAACGAAAAAACTGCGCCTTTACGTTGTGTAATGACTTGTGCACCTCTGTGACTTAACGAGCTACACAAGATGTCGAGCCAGTCCTTGCCTAGAAGGTCGATGGGTAGAGGTCAGACAAAGTCCAGTCTCCTGGTCCTCCAGGTTTGGGGTTCGACTTGAGTTGGCGTCTAAATCAGTAAAACATATTGGAGGAGTAATTGATCCAAGTAAATGAGCCTCCATTCCGCCCTAACCGCTGCCTTGCGGTCAGGTTCTTGGACGAGAACCCTAATCGTTCTCCTACTTAGTGGCTGGACACCCTGGCAGTACCCGTCCATAAAGCTCCAATGAACACAAACAAAAATAATTTTATACTGCATCGGTCGTCGCGCAGGATAATCTGGACCGCGCTGTCCATTGCATCAAGCGGGGTAGGTAGTGATAAGTGGGGTACTGCTCAGATATCCCAACCTTAGTTTAACTCTGTCTTCCTTACCCAACCGTCTCCCTTTACTCCTTCTTCCAACCCGTAACATTCCCTCAGACAACTTGGTCGTCATTCGCCAAAGGTCGTTGCCAAATAGCGCTGTAAGTAGTTTTCCTGTACATAAAGTGCAGATTCTGAAGCCTCGTCAACCTCTGATTCCGGAAGCCTCCAACATGAGGACTCGCATGCAGGCGGATCAACAAGCGTTTCTTGCACGTTCAATAAAGTCTTTGGAAATTGTTGTCTGCTGCGTATCGGAGGCTCGAATTCAGGATCTTGGTATCATAAACCACCTGAGTGCGCCGAGTCTGTCCTTGAGGTATTTCCTTCGCACATCAGGAGACGACGAATCTTGTTTATTGGGTTAGCGTGGTGTAGGGATCGTACTAAACGAAAAGGCTGAAGCCTCTATGGTTGGATACCCGTCAATAGTCGTTTGTGCGCAATGAGACTCCAGGGTTCGGTTAGTGTTTGGAAGGGCAGAAACACCAAAAGGTGTTGGTTCATCATTTCTGCATATGCACTAACCAATTGCAGTCTCACTTCACAAAGGGACGGATTTTACGACAAACTCGTCGAACTGATTCGGTCGAGCCGCAGCTCTGATGTTATAGTACTGGCAGGTGATTTTACCACGCAGGTTGGAAAGCTGAGCGCATCNGAAGCCTGCCTAGGATGGCATTTCGCTCTTCCCGCCTATCGAACAGACAACGGTGACCGACTACTTCAGTTCTGCGCGGATCATCGGTTGTTCTTATCCAGCACCAACTTTCGACACCTTTCGTCGAACGACTACATGGTGCTCTAGTTCAACCGGAACGTTGACCCAAATTGACCACGTAGCTATAAGCTGCGATTGGTGTGGTTCAGTACAAAATTGCAGGTCCTATTGGACCACCTGCGTTGAGTTGGACCATGCACTAGTTCTGTTACGCTTCACTCTTCGATTCATCGGTCATCGTAATTAATCGCCTCCTCAGTTTGGTCATCATCGTCAACGCGATCCAGTTGTCTGCGCACGTTATGAAGATTTGCTGGTACAGGAGCTAGAAGAACCGTAGCATAGCGAAGTAGATCAACATTGGAATCAGATTAGATTCGCGATGCATGAAGCAGCCAACTTTGCTTGTGGGACCGAGCCCGAAGTTCGCCAAAGACCCTGGATCTCTCGGGGAGTCAGTAATCCTGATGGATCAAAAATGAAAGATCCCAATCTGCCGGGATCAGTATAGGGACCGGCGGCGCCTGCAACGTCAACTTAGGGAATGCCTCAGGAACGATCGCCAAATTTGGTGGGCAAAAATGGAGGCAGCTTCTGCAACAGGGAATAATCACAGACTTTTTAACCTGATACCAAGCACCGGAGGTCGTCGCATAACGGTTAGTGAGACCAATTGCAATAAAAGTGGACAAATTATCTACAATAAAGAAGAACGACTTGATCGCTGAGCAGACTATTTTAGTGAACAGTTGAGTGGGCCCAGTGCTAGTGCGGTCATTCCAGCAATTGCGGTGGAAACCCCGTGAGTGGTGCCATGTGAGCCCCCATCAGAATTGGAAGTACGAAGCTGCATTCAATCATTAAAGAAAGGGAAGGCAGCCGGACCTGATGGGCTTCTCCCCATTCTTTTTAAGGTGGGTGGTGATTCCTTTGTTGAATCGATCACTACATTACTTTGCAGCATTTGGTCGGCGGAGCGTATCCTTTTGTCCTGGGGTGAAAAGTTGATCGTCTCGATCTTCCAGATGGGATCACACAACGATTGCGCAAACCGCCGCGGTATTAGTTTAGTTTCAATAATCCCAAAAGTGTTGACTTCTGTGATACCTCGCCGCCTGACAC